TGTGAAAGGTTAGGTCTCTTCAGAAAAGTAGGAGAGCAGTCCCAAAGGGTTGATGAGAGCTTGAATTTCACTAAACGTTCACGATGCTTGTATTATGCGTGTGATTTACAAGCATGTGAAATCAGAGGCTGCCCCATCAGGGCCTAGCCCGGCACACCGTGTCCTGCTCCACATGCTCCTGTGGCTCCCGGGCACCCGGGCCACTGTCTCTCAAGAGCCTCCCCTCAATGGGCTCAGTCACCCGGACAATCAGCAGCTTTCAGCCGTACGTCCTGTCCTCCCCTAGTAAAAGGACTGCTGCAAAAAGCATCTTTTGAAATGAGGATCCAAGTAGATAGAGAGGGACAGGAGTCCAGTCACACTTGTTCCCGTGATAGACAGTCTGTCAGCTTTGTCTGCTAAACACTGCGAGCCGAAAGGGCTGCAGGGGCGTGAGCCTCTCCGTCCTCTGGTTGCTCTTGAGAACTGAGTGGCAGAGAATGCTGCCTGCTGGTGTCCTCAAGGGGCCACCCTGTAGGTGACAGGTGCAGGCTTGTCCTTACTGCTGCACACATGCAAAGCAAAGGCTGACTTCCAATTCCTTGATAGTCAGGGGAAGTTTAGTAAAATTACACTAGAATAACCTCTGGTGTCCTGGTCACTTTTACAAGGATTTACAGATTTAATAGCAAACTATGTATTTTAGGAACAGGAACAATAATGGTTTTGCCAACTAGCTGAATAAACAGGAATAAAGCAATTGTCCAATTAGAATTCACTGTTGAGAGCTTTAAGTACAATTTTTCAGAATTGTCTAACAAAAATCTCATATGCTGCCAGAGTTAACTCATCTCGCTCAAAGTACACAAGTAATATGTGTAGGCCAAGCAAATGACAAAAGGTAGAGGGCAAATGGTATGCAACCATCGGCTCTCAGCAGTCACTTCAGTAATAGGACTTGGGCATAGACAGGGCAGGGAAAATGCCCTCAGTCAGTGTGTCACTGACCCAGGGGTTTGGCTCAATCTAGATCAATAGTTCTCAAATTGGCTATGCACTGAAATCACCTGGGAATGCTTTAAAAACACCAATGCCTGGGTCCCAATCCCAGATAGTGTGATTCAGTTTGGGTAGTGGAATTTCTGCAAGCTCATTAGGCAATTACACTGTGCGGCCATTCTTGAGAACCACTGTTCTACATTTCCAACGACTTCAGACAGATGAAGCTGGTTCTAGTACTTGCCAGGATTTCTGACTCAGAATTCAGACATATACAAAATAAAGATTTTTAAGTTTCCTCACCAGGTGGATGCTTGGGCCATTCTTCGCGGTGTCAGTATTAGTGGTTAGCTTATATAGAGCACTATAAACAAAACTATCAAATCACTACGTATTTTTAAAACATATTTCTGATGCACTCTTTACTTGGCAATTCCACAAAGCTCAGTCTTCTACGATTTGAGCTGTTGTGCACGGAATCATCTCTTCCCAAATGAAATGGCAGTTTAAATTCATATGGCATAGAATTTATTCCATTAGTTCAACTCCTCAATTTATTTCCTATAGCAAAAAAAGGCCAATTCTTTAGCCCATGCTTTGCATTTCTATATATAACTTTTGCTTGGTGAAATGTGGAAGATTATATTCACGGGGTAGTGAAATCTCCCATGATATAGCAAGCATACTTCGGGTGTTTAAGAACAAGACATCATATTTTTAACTTCACCCAGGACCCATTAAGAGAAGAGTTGTCCAGGTTGCGTGAATGACTGACTGCCTTTGTTTGTGGTGCTTCTCTGAAATAGCTCTAAGAAGCAGGTGGAGGCTCAAGGAGATCAACCAAGTCCAGCTTCTTGCCAGAAGAAGGTCAGTCCTTTACCATGTGCCAGAAATCACTGTCAATTCTTACTTGGTCAGCAGAAAAGGAATTCTAGATTCCCTAATAGCAAGCACTAGCCTGCTCATAATCTCTTATAATAAACCATTATAATCAGGAATTCCTCTTTATGTCTGATTTAATAAACTCAAACTGGTCCTCAATGAATATCATGGGGGGGGGCGGGATCTCCACTGTGGCTTGTCCGGTTTTCATTTCAAATGATAGAAGTTGTGTTTAGCTGAGTTTACATTATTTTGTGAAATGAGTATTGCAGTCAATACTTCGGTTAGTTAAAACAGCTTTGTGCCCTCTTATAGAATTTTAAAACAGAAAGAATAAGGAAGTGATACACCTAATAATTTATGAAAATTTCTGCTTGCACTATTTACACAAAATGATTGTTGATAAACACAGAATATTGCCATGAACACACTAACTATTCATACATCAAGAAGCCTGAAAAAATGACTGTGTAATAGCTGTGAAGATGTTTTTACTTCAGAAGGCTCTGAGGGCCATACCACAAAAATCAATGGTATGACCAGCTCATGAATGTGTTGGCATCTGCCCCATCTTACCCACAGTAGCCTCTTCTAACACTTCCAATCCATGGCTTGTGATGGGAGTTCCACGGAGACTAAGATAAAGGCCAGTTGTAGCGTCACCTACTTGAGATGATAAGAATGTAGTCTTATTACTTACACTACAGTATACATTCAAATATCTATGCGATAGATTCCTCTCTTACTGGCATCACTAATGCCAAGTACGAAAGGAAGTCAAATACTGCAGTTTAAAATGTTATATTACATATTCTATGAATGGAGAATAAGGAATCTTGAGCTTTAATCTCCAGTAACCCTGGAACTCCCCTAGGAAAGGAGGCCCACAGGGCTTCGCAGAATTCCTAGAGGCCTGCAGAACATGCATACTGCAGAACCGTGGCACTGTCCTGACTGGCTCATACAATTTTATTGCATGATGAAATGTCTCAAAGTCAGAGAAGTTAAACTTTCACTTAGTATCCCAGAGAATGGCCATAAATTGAAACTGAGGGACTCTGAAGGAAACCCAATTAAAAGGCAGTTATTCTTTAGCAGTTAAATTGAAGTAGGAACAAGATCATCAGGTTTTCACTTCTTACAACAAAATTGAGCCCAGTTCTTACACGTACATTTTTTCATACATATCTTTTGAATACCAATGTTTTTACTCAAAACGATACTTGAAAACTATTTTATTATTCTTTCAAATACTTGAAAATATATTGTTAAGCAAACTGGCAATGTGTTTCATGGTATATGCCCTTCAAATCAGTAATGCTTTTTCTATGAATGAATATTAAGGAAATCATTCATTATCAGGTAAAATAATACATGCAAGAATGATAACATTATTTTCAGTGATAAAAAGAAAATACTGGAGTCATCCTAAATGTCTCATCTAAGGAAATGGAAAAGAGATTAAAAACTAAGTTTTTGATAAGTTTCCAAATCTGGTAACATAATCATGACATGTTGCTAGGTAAAAAAGAAGGCTAAAAAGATGTATATATGGTTTGAGTTCAATTATATTTTAAAGCTGCTTAGGAAAAATGCTGCTAGAAGACATGTTCTTGGGTGTTTCCACATTTATTGATATCGACCTGTATTACCTTTGTAGTGAGGAAAAATTCATTTAATTTTAATATTAAAACTGGAAGATAATGTATCAAATGTTGATAGTCAGAATCTTTAATGGATGGGATTATAGGTGAAGATTTTTAAAAATACCTTCTTGAATTTTTTTCTTTTTTAGAGAACATGTTTAACTTTCATAGAAAGAAAAATACACTGCTAGTGAGGAATGCACTCTTACTTTATCTTAATTCTTTGCTCTTTTGTCAGGTACCATTGGCAGTGACTTATCAGAACTCAGTTTAGAACGTATTCATTGAACTCATGTGCAAAACCCTAATGCTTCATTTTAAGAGACTTTTGATTATTTGCTGTAAATTCTAATGAAACCTTTATTGGGAGAAAAGTGAAACTACTGAGTTAAACTAATTTTTCTAATGATCTGTGTCCTAGTGCCAAAGTCCCTTCTCTTAAAAGACCATAAGTACTAGAAGGTACTTTTCTTATGCAGTATTCCTTGGTGACACTTGTCAAAACATGACCTAGTGGATGGGTGGTCCTAATAATATGGCATCATCTGTATTCTAATTCAATCATTCTAATTACTTTACATGGTAGATATTGAACCAGTATCAGGAATATATCTGTATTTTCTCCAACTTAATTCTTCTGGTTTTTATGTTCTTACCTTTGAGTAGAGCTCAACAAACGAAAGAGAAATTTATTCCTATGTGAGTCGAGGAGTATAAATCCTCCGTTAACTTTTTTCCAGGTAAGAAATGATAACAATAACCAGTTCTTTCCAAATCATGCTATTGCTTTGTTTCATCCTAAATTTGTTATGTGCTGTTAAATGTGTCTTAATTTTAAATTGCCATAGTTTGCCTTAGAGTTTAGTACTGCCAATAATGTACTGTGTTATACTCTTGTAAAACAAACTTGATAATGATTTTATTTACATATCTACTACATTATTTAACATGAGAATTCAAACTGGAGAAGTGGGAAAGAAGGCAACATGTGCTTATATGATATAAAGATGGCTAATTATAGATTAAAATATTTGACTTACCTGTAAAAACATTCAACAAGGAAGGAATAGTATAAGTAGCATTTTTTATGATAGACTCAAAAACAGATGCAGTAAAACAATGATTTGCAAATGCCAAAGTAACCAAAAGACCTCTTTGTTTCTACCACCAAATGCTGATATACAATTCTAAGTATTATGCCTGTTAAACAGTATTCAAACAAATACTTTATAAAACCCAGAATTTAAATGTGTAAATTACATAGGGAAAGCATGTCAAGATACTAATTTGATTGCATTGCTTAATAGTTACCAAATAACATTAAAAATTGAATGTCATGATCCCAATTCAATTGCCATAATTATTGTTCCCTTATGTTGTCTCCTTAAATATTCCTTTTTTTTATTACAAAGAGATAACCTTCAGTAAGGATGATAATACCAAAATAAAATTAACATAACCAGAGCAAAGATAAATAAAATTTAAAAAGCCAACCTTTATTCCACTGTGAACAAGTTTGTGAATGTCCAAATAAGGCTCCTTGAAAATTTCTCCTTCAGGGGTAAATATCTTCACGTAACCTTCTTTTTCCAGAATGAAGAGACGGTGCGAGCCATCCCCACTATGCAGGGCGGCAACAGGCTGGCGCAGCCCACTCACAACTTCCTGAATACAGAGGCAGTTGTGCTTGTGCTTTCTAAACAAATTAAAGAGAATCAGTAAGCATTTCTTGAGAAGAAGGAGGTAAGGGGTGCACTTAGCATCCTCTTCAAAATATATTCCCTCTAGGAATCAATGGTTTTTAGAAGCATGTAGTGCTGCTAACTCAAAGGTCACAGTATGATTTCCTTAAAGTGATTCATTTAAATTTTTTCAATGGAAAAAAAACCAAAACAAAACAGCCTTCTATCAGGAAGTGAAAGAGAATCAGAACCAAACTTTTATGTATTTAAAAATTTCATAAGTTCACGATCTCATCTTTCAGTGACTGTAATTAGAATTAGCCTGCCTCATAATAATGAAGCCTTACAGAAAGGTACTGAGAGAGAAAGTTCTAAGATCTATTTATAAAACTCTGATTTGCTAATAATACTTGTGCTGAAGTATTTAAGCTTGTATAATTTTGGAGAAGCAAACTACCCAAAAGAGAAAAAAAAGTATCTGGAGGATATGGCTACTGGATATAAGCATAGATAGTTGATTTACTACCAAAACCATAAAATCTGTCAGTTGTTTTTTTCTTTTTTTAATTAAAGAACATTTATCTTTATGAACCTGCTGATCTCTTCCACTTTGTCATATTCTTCCATCTGGTCCAAGTAGTTAGATGCTGGTCCTCTGATTTGTTTTCTTGGAAAATCTGGGAAGCACAATCCACCATCTTTTCTTGCATAGTAAAAGCAAAACTCATCAGCAGTAGTTTGAAGGAAACCTTTAAAGAAATGTAAAAAAACTCATTAGAAATATTTAGTGTCATATTAAAAGCACCCTATTGGAAAGATAAAAATAGAAGAAAAGGATTCTTAGATGAATATTCTAGGAAGATAATAAAAGGAAATAAAATTATTTTTTGATTGGGATTTTTGATTTTTTAAACCAAAATTAAAAATTTGCAGTGACGTGAAATAATACTGTGTTGGCTCTTTTAAAAGGCTCATACAAGACACGAAAAACAAACCCAGCATTAACTCGTAAGTGCACTGACTGTTGGCAGGCTTCCCCAGTTATCATTATGTTGCTCTTGTGAATTTATCTGCTCACCTACAGCACTAAATAACTTCCTAAGAAGAACAAATTAGAATCAAGAGATAGGCCCTCAGTGGCAGTTTTGGTCATTTTACAATTCTTATTGTATGGTTACTCACATGTGATTAAATAATAAATCTAAGGACTATCACAAAGTCATTATAAGCTATAATACATGCCTGACTCACTGCAATCATCAAGCAATGAATTGATGCTAATATCAGAGCCTCCATTTTCAAATGTGTAGGGGTGGGGTGGGCATATTAATAAGATTTACTTCTATATGCTGATGATGGTTTCTACTCTCAAAATATGATATTGCTACTAAAGTTGACCTATGATGTCCCCAATTCCTGCTTCTGGTCTCATACCTTTACGTATGCTTACTGTTTGGACTTTTATGTAACGAATTAGATTACTATTCCCCTATCAGCTTTGTGATAAAGGCACCCAGTAACTTAGTTAAAGTTTGGAAGTTGTATAACGGATCCAGGTTTGCAAGGATTTCTAGCAACAAGAATCTGGGGACAACCAAGTAAGACTTATCAACGGAACATGGAAGACTGAAAATGTATTTTCTGTGAACTTGACCGACGTCCCTTCAAACCTAAAACTATCTTAGAATTTGAGGGTCCCAAGCGGTTAAAACTTGATATGCATCTTGGCCTCACTTTTGGGTGAAATGTTATCACCCCTAAATTTCTGAGACAGCCTCTTCAAGGCCACTATCTGAGTAGGTGATAGGGAAACATCTCTGGGAACCAGGCAAGGAGGAGCAGATGTTCTTGGGAGTGAGCGTGTGGGTGGCGGGCAGACGGAGGAGGCATGGCAGCTGGGAAGGCTGTTCCCTGGGAGGGGCAAAGCCCTGGGAGGAGGTTATCTTTCTCTGAAAAAATTCAGGGATTAGAAATTGGGGAGAGGAATGAAGGCTGCAGCAGTATTTTCTCATCTTTAGCAATTCACTGTTTCGAAGAGATAACTTTTCTCCTCCATTCTTTACTAACATAACAGTAAAACTATCTAATGGTGTTAAACAAGTCTGTTTGAGGTAAAAAGAAGAGAAGGAAAATTGGGTTGCTAAATGAAACTTTTTGCAGTTTTGGTCTACTTTTCTGGTGTGTGTGTGTATATATATATACCTATATTCTCCATGAGGCAGCAAGATTTCTATGCCAATATTATGCATGCAGGAATACTATCATACTATAGAAATATTGTTAGCTGAATATGTAAGTGAGAAATTTTGTTTTAATGTGATGTTTCCCTGTGGGGGTCAGAAAAAAATTTCAAAGTGTAACTGAGAAGAAATTTCAAGTTTGTTTCTTAAAAAGTCTACCTGTATTTCAGCATTGCAGTCTGCAAGCCAAAATCATTATAAGGGGAAATTAATGAACAGTGCTGGTGGTGGCTGATTCCATTTTATAAGGAATTATTATTTGGAGACAAACATGAGGAAATGAGAAATCATTTTCAAATGGAACAACTGAAGATTAATAAGTGAAAATTTATAAATTCTGTGGCCCCTAAGGTACTATGTTCTTTTAGCAAATTAAAAAAATAAGCAAACGAACAAAAACAAATTAACCAAGAATTACTACTAGTTTTTTACAGAAGCTAGACAAACTGTTAAGGTGAAAGAGGAAGCCAACTCAAAAGTCTTTTACATAAAATATGGGCATTTTCCTTACAATTATGATATTTGAATTGGAACATCTAATAATTTTATTAATACTGTATCTTAAATGATCTGATTCTGTGGACAGTGATGAATAAGATATATTTTGCTGTGAAGAACTAAAAGGGATCTGGTTTCAGGACCCTGGGCTAACATTTATTGCCAGGAAAAAAAAATTTGCCAAATGGTAAACTTTACCCTCTGTTTGGAAGAATACACTGAAGAGCATTTTACTGAAGGAGGGTGTTCAGTGCACCATGTATCTTCATAGTATGATCAAGCCTACTCATGATGGAAATACGCTGATTATCTCAGCAGCTGTATTGTTTTAAATTCCTGACAACTTATCAAATACCTTTTCTATAACCACTCTCTGGATCATGATGAATCCAGTCCTACTATACCACCAAGCACCCTATAAAATACTGATGTAAATAAATATGCTCTGTGGAGTATTCTAAGCTTTAGCTTCTCTCTCAGGGTGTGTGCTAGAGAAAAGTCATCTTTCCTTATTATATATGCTGTTCTTCATGCTAAGGGGAAAAATGAAAAACCCAGTGTCAGTAAGGCCTGCCCTTGAGAGAATTTTCCACAGAGGTAGTGGATATTGACATATCCATCCATTTCCTCTGGTTTGATCTCCTGGGAACTAGGAGACACATGTGTAAGATACCTGACTGGGGTCAGGAGTGGCTCTGGACTAGAGGAACTCAGTGGAATCAAACCCTTGACCTTGGCCTCATTAGGATTAAGCCAATTGAACTAATTGTACAGCAGGCATTTCACACTAAATAACTTACAGCTGAGGAGATGAAGGCCTAGCGTGATAAAAATCATTATGATAACTAGTATAAAGGAAGCAGGGAGGCCAATAGATGCCCCTTCATCTGCTTCCCCCAGAATATATTATGCCATCGTTTATCGAAGAGCAAAGTTATGCACTCTGTCCATCATAATGCAGGCAGAAAAAAAGTCCTATAGTGTTGAACAAGGGGCTCCTGTGTCTTTTAAGTGTAATTGTGGTATTTTTTAGAAGTTTTAAGACTTTACCTCCCTAAGTAAATTCACAACTGGAGAATATTATGATTAAGAAAACATTACTGTACCCTCACTCTGTTGATTTCTAACTTCTTTTCTCATTTTGGGGAAAATAAGAAAACCATGAATATTCCTGAATTAAAGTTCCTAGAAAGTATCTATCCATATCTTTTCAGGTATCCATGTTCTCCAAAGTGCCTGGCACTTTCTTAAAGCCATGAAAGTGAAGAAAAGGGATAGATCGTTTATATATTTATTTCTTTATATACTGGGCAGTGGGAGAAAATTGAAGCTGTCCCTGGAATTATTTTTTTCTCTCTCAACCCTTTTCAGCATTTGCCTTCTTTTAGCAAAATACACCCCTTAGGGTATCTTCCTTTTGAAGTTTTTAATCTGCAGAAATGTGATGATATTAATGAGGATAGTCAAAACATATTGACCAGTTTCTTATAAAAGAGAAACGCAAGTGGTTGTTTTTCACAATTTTGAACTTCAGAGTAAAGTCCAGTCATTCAATGGACTTAAGAAGGTGAAAATATTAAAAATTTGCTTTGAGAGCAATTTCTGGAAAATGAATGTTCTGGAATTCTAAAGAGCCTTCTGTGCAGCGGGGCCAAGGGCTAAGGAGAGGATAACCGTATTATTCATCATACTTTAAGGGAATGATCACCTACCTGCCAAGGATCAGTTTGGCTAATGAATTAATTAACATAAGTTACACAAAGAGTGTGTTACTACAACTCACTTTGGGGACAAGTATTTAGAACAATTCTTAGCATTTGACAGCTGCAGAGGAAGCTGCCTCTGCTTGCTGCTGCAGCCTGTAGGCTGTTCTGGAAAGCACCCTTGCTGCTCCGTCCACCACTGGAGTGGAGCTTTCATCTGGTTATCTTTCAAGGCAGCCTGGGTGGCCACCAAAAGCACTTGACATCTTGATGCACTTCAGCAGTTTTACATATACACAAACTTTGTAGAAAAATAAATTTGTCATTCGTCACCACATATGTTGATCTGGGGAGCGAGGTGCTTGCAGTTCTGGCTCCTGAGCTGTTTGCTGTGCTCTCTCTCTCACTGGATATCGCTTTTTGTTGTTTGGTTTGGAGGCTAAAATAATTTCAAATATATGAAGACCCCCACAGATGAGTTCCTGCAGCCAGCACAGTTGTACTGATCCCAAACAGATAAAGGCAGCGAAAATGCTAAGCGTCCACATAATTTCAACTCACAGTGATAAAGGCAAACCTTTAAGATTTGATGTTGGCGCAAACCTTTATGGTACCTAATCAGTTATCACTTCTCCACAGGCCATCTATGCAACAGTGACCTATTTTGCTTTGCTTGGGGGAATGTGATAAAGAGGATAAAACAGCTGGTTTAAGAAAAGCCTTAGAAACAGGGCTGTAGTTTAGAAAGACAATAATAATATTTTCACACTGAGTGGGTTTAGATAGATGTTATGGTACACCAAAAGAAGGAAGCAAGCCTAGTCAAAATGTTTTCTTAGGTTATTAAGAGAGCTCCATCAAAAAATACAAAAATCTACACTTTTCTGGGTCACAAGAAAACAGGAAGATGGGCAGAGCAGTAAAAAAATTGTCCAAGTGCATCTTATAGTTCCTAAAGCTTGTCTTTTCCTTCAATGCCATTTAGTTTTATGAACTGTTAGCTTCCGTAAATTTGTGTGTGACTTTGCCTAGCTAAACAGAATCTGTCTCCTTAAATTCTTTTCCACCTCTGTTGATTCTTCCAACTAAATCAGCAAACAAAGCTTATGAACTTTTGATAGTAAAATTAATCCATACCCAAGAATCTATATACCTGTTAGGGTTCAAAATATAATAGTGAGCAGGTATATTTAAGACACTGTCAGCATGAGAACTCTGTATTCTATCATTTTCCCACTGTACAACCTTGGTTAAGGCATTTAACTTCTCCTGAGGCTCGGTTATCTTCATGTGTCAAATAGAAATGACTCCGCTTTTCCTACCTACCTCACAGGATTTTTGAGAAGCAATTTAGTCATACATAAAAGTGCTTTTCAGACTACTTTTTTTGCTTTCTAATCATACTTTATTTAAGGAAACACCTGAAAAAGTGGACAATCTGCACTTCTGTATCAGCCATGTAGAAGAGGAAGCTGACATGATACTGATGCTGATGGGTGAAGAAGACACGAACAAGGAATTTGTACTGAGATTCCAACTTGTGTAAACATTACCAACTGTATTTTTGGTTTAACAAGACATGGAAAACATTTCAACACAACCAATATACTGCTTGCAGACTGACACATTTGAAAACGTTAATTATAAGGTAAAAATAGGTAGTTTCAAAGGTGAGATAAATTTTACACTCTGTAAGCAAGTGTTTCAGAACAGCTATCTTGTAAGGATGTTCTGTAATCGTTTATTCAGATTACCCATTTTTTTTACCTGGAATATGGCCTCGGCAAGTATAAAAGAATTCTTTGCAATAGTCCTTGCAGAGCAGAGGAAATACTAGGTCTCTTTCCAAGGCTTCTCTCTCAGGTGAGTGGAACAGGCTCTGAGAATGTGGAGAGCAAAGTGCACATTTGATTTCCTCCAGTAACTTCCCACATTCTGTGTTGTTGGTAACCAAATATATCTGAAAGCCATAAATCAGAAACAAACTTCTTTTTAGTCATGTGAAGTTAGGTCTAGTTATGTTTTTTGTAATCACATAAGTAGAAATGTATAACCTAGCCAGCACAGTTGTCTGATAAACATCACCATGTCACCCTATAGAATTGTCTTTATAAGGATACAAGTACAGTCTCTTGGGTTGGAATGAGACAGCAAATGGTAGCAATGCACAGAAATGCTTCCTACTTTTGCATATCAGTCTGTTTAAGTCTTTCAGGTATAAGAAATCAAATGACAATTATATTTAGACCCTTTAACCCTTTCTGATTTTACTCTGCGTCAAAGTTTATACTAATGTTGAACTTTAAAACTCCAAACACCTTTATCCAACAGTATGTAAAGCAGAACTTTTAAAGACATGGCTTATTTGGGTCTCTCAGAGACGATATGTGAGTTACATTTTTCTAGTTTCAATCTACAGATTGCATAGGGAAATTTTCCTAAAGTGGGGGAAATATCCCCCTTGCATGTTCTATAAAAGTAATGTCTGAATAAAACACATTTAAGACCAATTTTTATGATTCATTATATCTTAGCCAGGAAAAACTTTTTAGCTAGCTCTCTGGATATAAGCATAGATAGTTGATTTACTACCAAAACCATAAAATCTGTCAGTTGTTTTTTTCTTTTTTTAATTAAAGAACATTTATCTTTATGAACCTGCTGATCTCTTCCACTTTGTCATATTCTTCCATCTGGTCCAAGTAGTTAGATGCTGGTCCTCTGATTTGTTTTCTTGGAAAATCTGGGAAGCACAATCCACCATCTTTTCTTGCATAGTAAAAGCAAAACTCATCAGCAGTAGTTTGAAGGAAACCTTTAAAGAAATGTAAAAAAACTCATTAGAAATATTTAGTGTCATATTAAAAGCACCCTATTGGAAAGATAAAAATAGAAGAAAAGGATTCTTAGATGAATATTCTAGGAAGATAATAAAAGGAAATAAAATTATTTTTTGATTGGGATTTTTGATTTTTTAAACCAAAATTAAAAATTTGCAGTGACGTGAAATAATACTGTGTTGGCTCTTTTAAAAGGCTCATACAAGACACGAAAAACAAACCCAGCATTAACTCGTAAGTGCACTGACTGTTGGCAGGCTTCCCCAGTTATCATTATGTTGCTCTTGTGAATTTATCTGCTCACCTACAGCACTAAATAACTTCCTAAGAAGAACAAATTAGAATCAAGAGATAGGCCCTCAGTGGCAGTTTTGGTCATTTTACAATTCTTATTGTATGGTTACTCACATGTGATTAAATAATAAATCTAAGGACTATCACAAAGTCATTATAAGCTATAATACATGCCTGACTCACTGCAATCATCAAGCAATGAATTGATGCTAATATCAGAGCCTCCATTTTCAAATGTGTAGGGGTGGGGTGGGCATATTAATAAGATTTACTTCTATATGCTGATGATGGTTTCTACTCTCAAAATATGATATTGCTACTAAAGTTGACCTATGATGTCCCCAATTCCTGCTTCTGGTCTCATACCTTTACGTATGCTTACTGTTTGGACTTTTATGTAACGAATTAGATTACTATTCCCCTATCAGCTTTGTGATAAAGGCACCCAGTAACTTAGTTAAAGTTTGGAAGTTGTATAACGGATCCAGGTTTGCAAGGATTTCTAGCAACAAGAATCTGGGGACAACCAAGTAAGACTTATCAACGGAACATGGAAGACTGAAAATGTATTTTCTGTGAACTTGACCGACGTCCCTTCAAACCTAAAACTATCTTAGAATTTGAGGGTCCCAAGCGGTTAAAACTTGATATGCATCTTGGCCTCACTTTTGGGTGAAATGTTATCACCCCTAAATTTCTGAGACAGCCTCTTCAAGGCCACTATCTGAGTAGGTGATAGGGAAACATCTCTGGGAACCAGGCAAGGAGGAGCAGATGTTCTTGGGAGTGAGCGTGTGGGTGGCGGGCAGACGGAGGAGGCATGGCAGCTGGGAAGGCTGTTCCCTGGGAGGGGCAAAGCCCTGGGAGGAGGTTATCTTTCTCTGAAAAAATTCAGGGATTAGAAATTGGGGAGAGGAATGAAGGCTGCAGCAGTATTTTCTCATCTTTAGCAATTCACTGTTTCGAAGAGATAACTTTTCTCCTCCATTCTTTACTAACATAACAGTAAAACTATCTAATGGTGTTAAACAAGTCTGTTTGAGGTAAAAAGAAGAGAAGGAAAATTGGGTTGCTAAATGAAACTTTTTGCAGTTTTGGTCTACTTTTCTGGTGTGTGTGTGTATATATATATACCTATATTCTCCATGAGGCAGCAAGATTTCTATGCCAATATTATGCATGCAGGAATACTATCATACTATAGAAATATTGTTAGCTGAATATGTAAGTGAGAAATTTTGTTTTAATGTGATGTTTCCCTGTGGGGGTCAGAAAAAAATTTCAAAGTGTAACTGAGAAGAAATTTCAAGTTTGTTTCTTAAAAAGTCTACCTGTATTTCAGCATTGCAGTCTGCAAGCCAAAATCATTATAAGGGGAAATTAATGAACAGTGCTGGTGGTGGCTGATTCCATTTTATAAGGAATTATTATTTGGAGACAAACATGAGGAAATGAGAAATCATTTTCAAATGGAACAACTGAAGATTAATAAGTGAAAATTTATAAATTCTGTGGCCCCTGAGGTACTATGTTCTTTTAGCAAATTAAAAAAATAAGCAAACGAACAAAAACAAATTAACCAAGAATTACTACTAGTTTTTTACAGAAGCTAGACAAACTGTTAAGGTGAAAGAGGAAGCCAACTCAAAAGTCTTTTACATAAAATATGGGCATTTTCCTTACAATTATGATATTTGAATTGGAACATCTAATAATTTTATTAATACTGTATCTTAAATGATCTGATTCTGTGGACAGTGATGAATAAGATATATTTTGCTGTGAAGAACTAAAAGGGATCTGGTTTCAGGACCCTGGGCTAACATTTATTGCCAGGAAAAAAAAATTTGCCAAATGGTAAACTTTACCCTCTGTTTGGAAGAATACACTGAAGAGCATTTTACTGAAGGAGGGTGTTCAGCGCACCATGTATCTTCATAGTATGATCAAGCCTACTCATGATGGAAATACGCTGATTATCTCAGCAGCTGTATTGTTTTAAATTCCTGACAACTTATCAAATACCTTTTCTATAACCACTCTCTGGATCATGATGAATCCAGTCCTACTATACCACCAAGCACCCTATAAAATACTGATGTAAATAAATATGCTCTGTGGAGTATTCTAAGCTTTAGCTTCTCTCTCAGGGTGTGTGCTAGAGAAAAGTCATCTTTCCTTATTATATATGCTGTTCTTCATGCTAAGGGGAAAAATGAAAAACCCAGTGTCAGTAAGGCCTGCCCTTGAGAGAATTTTCCACAGAGGTAGTGGATATTGACATATCCATCCATTTCCTCTGGTTTGATCTCCTGGGAACTAAGAGACACATGTGTAGATACCTGACTGGGGTCAGGAGTGGCTCTGGACTAGAGGAACTCAGTGGAATCAAACCCTTGACCTTGGCCTCATTAGGATTAAGCCAATTGAACTAATTGTACAGCAGGCATTTCACACTAAATAACTTACAGCTGAGGAGATGAAGGCCTAGCGTGATAAAAATCATTATGATAACTAGTATAAAGGAAGCAGGGAGGCCAATAGATGCCCCTTCATCTGCTTCCCCCAGAATATATTATGCCATCGTTTATCGAAGAGCAAAGTTATGCACTCTGTCCATCATAATGCAGGCAGAAAAAAAGTCCTATAGTGTTGAACAAGGGGCTCCTGTGTCTTTTAAGTGTAATTGTGGTATTTTTTAGAAGTTTTAAGACTTTACCTCCCTAAGTAAATTCACAACTGGAGAATATTATGATTAAGAAAACATTACTGTACCCTCACTCTGTTGATTTCTAACTTCTTTTCTCATTTTGGGGAAAATAAGAAAACCATGAATATTCCTGAATTAAAGTTCCTAGAAAGTATCTATCCATATCTTTTCAGGTATCCATGTTCTCCAAAGTGCCTGGCACTTTCTTAAAGCCATGAAAGTGAAGAAAAGGGATAGATCGTTTATATATTTATTTCTTTATATACTGGGCAGTGGGAGAAAATTGAAGCTGTCCCTGGAATTATTTTTTTCTCTCTCAACCCTTTTCAGCATTTGCCTTCTTTTAGCAAAATACACCCCTTAGGGTATCTTCCTTTTGAAGTTTTTAATCTGCAGAAATGTGATGATATTAATGAGGATAGTCAAAACATATTGACCAGTTTCTTATAAAAGAGAATCGCAAGTGGTTGTTTTTCACAATTTTGAACTTCAGAGTAAAGTCCAGTCATTCAATGGACTTAAGAAGGTGAAAATATTAAAAATTTGCTTTGAGAGCAATTTCTGGAAAATGAATGTTCTAGAATTCTAAAGAGCCTTCTGTGCAGCGGGGCCAAGGGCTAAGGAGAGGATAACCGTATTATTCATCATACTTTAAGGGAATGATCACCTACCTGCCAAGGATCAGTTTGGCTAATGAATTAATTAACATAAGTTACACAAAGAGTGTGTTACTACAACTCGCTTTGGGGACAAGTATTTAGAACAATTCTTAGCATTTGACAGTTGCAGAGGAAGCTGCCTCTGCTTGCTGCTGCAGCCTGTAGGCTGTTCTGGAAAGCACCCTTGCTGCTCCGTCCACCACTGGAGTGGAGCTTTCATCTGGTTATCTTTCAAGGCAGCCTGGGTGGCCACCAAAAGCACTTGACATCTTGATGCACTTCAGCAGTTTTACATATACACAAACTTTGTAGAAAAATAAATTTGTCATTCGTCACCACATATGTTGATCTGGGGAGCGAGGTGCTTGCAGTTCTGGCTCCTGAGCTGTTTGCTGTGCTCTCTCTCTCACTGGATATCGCTTTTTGTTGTTTGGTTTGGAGGCTAAAATAATTTCAAATATATGAAGACCCCCACAGATGAGTTCCTGCAGCCAGCACAGTTGTACTGATCCCAAACAGATAAAGGCAGCGAAAATGCTAAGCGTCCACATAATTTCAACTCACAGTGATAAAGGCAAACCTTTAAGATTTGATGTTGGCGCAAACCTTTATGGTACCTAATCAGTTATCACTTCTCCACAGGCCATCTATGCAACAGTGACCTATTTTGCTTTGCTTGGGGGAATGTGATAAAGAGGATAAAACAGCTGGTTTAAGAAAAGCCTTAGAAACAGGGCTGTAGTTTAGAAAGACAATAATAATATTTTCACACTGAGTGGGTTTAGATAGATGTTATGGTACACCAAAAGAAGGAAGCAAGCCTAGTCAAAATTTTTTCTTAGGTTATTAAGAGAGCTCCATCAAAAAATACAAAAATCTACACTTTTCTGGGTCACAAGAAAACAGGAAGATGGGCAGAGCAGTAAAAAAATTGTCCAAGTGCATCTTATAGTTCCTAAAGCTTGTCTTTTCCTTCAATGCCATTTAGTTTTATGAACTGTTAGCTTCCGTAAATTTGTGTGTGACTTTGCCTAGCTAAACAGAATCTGTCTCCTTAAATTCTTTTCCACCTCTATTGATTCTTCCAACTAAATCAGCAAACAAAGCTTATGAACTTTTGATAGTAAAATTAATCCATACCCAAGAATCTATATACTTGTTAGGGTTCAAAATATAATAGTGAGCAGGTATATTTAAGACACTGTCAGCATGAGAACTCTGTATTCGATCATTTTCCCACTGTACAACCTTGGTTAAGGCATTTAACTTCTCCTGAGGCTCGGTTATCTTCATGTGTCAAATAGAAATGACTCCGCTTTTCCTACCTACCTCACAGGATTTTTGAGAAGCAATTTAGTCATACATAAAAGTGCTTTTCAGACTACTTTTTTTGCTTTCTAATCATACTTTATTTAAGGAAACACCTGAAAAAGTGGACAATCTGCACTTCTGTATCAGCCATGTAGAAGAGGAAGCTGACATGATATTGATGCTGATGGGTGAAGAAGACACGAACAAGGAATTTGTACTGAGATTCCCACTTGTGTAAACATTACCAACTGTATTTTTGGTTTAACAAGACATGGAAAACATTTCAACACAACCAATATACTGCTTGCAGACTGACACATTTGAAAACGTTAATTATAAGGTAAAAATAGGTAGTTTCAAAGGTGAGATAAATTTTACACTCTGTAAGCAAGTGTTTCAGAACAGCTATCTTGTAAGGATGTTCTGTAATAGTTTATTCAGATTACCCATTTTTTTTACCTGGAATATGGCCTCGGCAAGTATAAAAGAATTCTTTGCAATAGTCCTTGCAGAGCAGAGGAAATACTAGGTCTCTTTCCAAGGCTTCTCTCTCAGGTGAGTGGAACAGGCTCTGAGAATGTGGAGAGCAAAGTGCACATTTGATTTCCTCCAGTAACTTCCCACATTCTGTGTTGTTGGTAACCAAATATATCTGAAAGCCATAAATCAGAAACAAACTTCTTTTTAGTCATGTGAAGTTAGGTCTAGTTATGTTTTTTGTAATCACATAAGTAGAAATGTATAACCTAGCCAGCACAGTTGTCTGATAAACATCACCATGTCACCCTATAGAATTGTCTTTATAAGGATACAAGTACAGTCTCTTGGGTTGGAATGAGACAGCAAATGGTAGCAATGCACAGAAATGCTTCCTACTTTTGCATATCAGTCTGTTTAAGTCTTTCAGGTATAAGAAATCAAATGACAATTATATTTAGACCCTTTAACCCTTTCTGATTTTACTCTGCGTCAAAGTTTATACTAATGTTGAACTTTAAAACTCCAAACACCTTTATCCAACAGTATGTAAAGCAGAACTTTTAAAGACATGGCTTATTTGGGTCTCTCAGAGACGATAAGTGAGTTACATTTTTCTAGTTTCAATCTACAGATTGCATAGGGAAATTTTCCTAAAGTGGGGGAAATATCCCCCTTGCATGTTCTATAAAAGTAATGTCTGAATAAAACACATTTAAGACCAATTTTTATGATTCATTATATCTTAGCCAGGAAAAACTTTTTAGCTAGCTCCTCAGGTGTGATATATGCATGAAGAAACACAAGAGTTTAACAGAGGTGTGTTTGTACAGTATTTAGAAGAGTTATAATGAAAAAAAAAGGAATACTTTTATCTTTATTTATACAGTATTATGTCTTTTATTTCAGTAAGACCAATTTGGGAGTAATTAATTTACTGAGGTTAATAATTTGTGGATAAAATAGGTGTTGGGGTCATGCATTAACTTTAAAAAACTGACTTCAGGATCTTCTCTAATAAATATACCAGCAATATTTGAGACATGAAAGGTGCTTCTCAATGAAGCATTAATTTTTCTTATTTAAAAACACCCTAATGGGATTTAATTTTATACCTTTTCCCAGTTTATATAACTAAATTGTACTTAAATATTTCTTTGGAACTATGAACTGAAATTAACATTTAAAATTCTGCATCACTGTTAAAAGCAAATATTCCATTCACTGATTGAGGTTCTAATTTCAGTAAATCATATGGCTTTTATTTTTTAGGAAAAAATATTCTAAGTGATCACAAAATTTGGATCTGACAGAGCAAAGCAACTAAAAAAAAATCATTGAATACAACCATGCTTTGTTAGCATGCAATTATAGCATGCAGTAATTAAGAGTCCAATAGAAGTTACCCTAGTCTGGGGAAAAAACTTTTTTTTAATATATAAACAAGATGTTGTAACCATCTACAATATTCAGAAAAGTTATAATTCAATAGATTATAATTGTATTTACATTTTGATTTTCATCCATTTATTTAAATGACAATTGCATAAACGGTTAAAGTTTTCTAAAAGGAAACATACACCAGACACTTAGAATTTGCATTCCAAGAATGTTTTAAATGTCTTTTATTGTCCATACTCTGACAGACCTCACCAGTTCAATATTAATGCTGTTCAACGCTGTTCTGTTTGTTTATCCTATGGCAGTCCTTTAAGAACAAAACAACTGCAGGACACTGAAGCCACCTCTTTTGCTGGCTGAAAAACTGGAATGTAATTACCTTTGGTTTTATGGAGAGTATTCATGCTTCCATTTTTTACAGCTCAAACAAAATGATCCCCATATACTCTTCCAGCTGCTATTCAGTAAGAGCTTGATTTTAGTGCCTAAAGAATTTTGTCTTTGACAATTTTTGGAATGTGTCCTGGCCACAAGGTCTCTCATCAAAAGTCTCAGAACTAGGATTCAATAAATTATCTGAAATCAAGTATAATGTTATTCTTTGTAAAGTTTCATGCTGTTCCGGCCCAGCAGGATGGTAACATTTTGCTCTGTGTGAGGTCTGCAGTGTAAATACCTATTTGAAGATAGATAGAGCCATCATTCTGGCTTTGGTTTCAATGAACCAATAGTCTTACTGAAGTCAATTAAACTGACTCAGCCCAAGCTGTAGCACTGTTTTAGACAGATGAGTACCGGGGTGTGTATGGTACTGTTTTCTTCTTTTTTGCCTGTGTTCCTGTGTCTATATAGATCCTTAACTTTATGTCTGACAATGTCATCAATCTTAAGAAGAAATTTAAGCTAATTTCCTGTTTTGATTTTTAAAAGTCATATATGCAACCATCAAATTATAGTGGTTTAAACTAAATATACTTTGGAAATCATGTAAAACTTCGAAACATTATTACTGCATGCCTAGTAATGATTGTGGCTGTTGCTGATAATTTATAACATCTGGCAAGTCATCCTTTAATCTTTAGCCACATGAAAGTAAAATCTATAGAAGAAAGGTAAGATAAATAATGGAATACACAGTGAAGCGTGGCCTATACTATAGCTTATCAACAAACAGTAAAATGTGTGACAGAGACCTTCTGTATGTCTCTTTATTTATCAACTAAACAAAGAGGATAAAAAGGTACCCACATGGGTTCGATGAATAGACAAAAGGAGAAAATACATGACAGTATATTAAGATGTCGCCTTAAGATCACTTGGGACACAAAAAGTTATTTCTAAAAATCATATGCGTACAAGGTTGTTCAGCTGTTGGGTAGAACACATGCGTCTCTGGACTATAGTGCTGGATTATGTCATTAAAGAGTTCAGTTTCAATTTTAGGCTAATATGTAAATAGATCATTGTACTAAGGCAGCTGTTAAAGGGACCCCAGGATGAGTTATTTGTTTAGTTGGATGTGTTCAACAATAGCCTTTGTCCCTGAAAGGGCCAGAGCAAACAAATGATTGTAAAAGGGCACACTTGAAAACAATTACTTTTCACCTATTCCTTGACAGCTTTGGCTGTGAAACCACCCAAGGTAGAGGGAACTTCTATGCCTCTGTGGCTACAAGTTAAGTTTTAGAAATGGGGGTATTTCAGTTGGTTGCAGATTCAATTTGGCTAATGGGAATTAGATCATTTTAGCATGTTGTATTTAGGACCTGCAAAAATATTGCCTAAGACAGTATCACTTCCTAAATTTTGGCAGTACTTATTTTCAAGGGTAGTTAACCATCTCATTACAATACACAAAGATATTAAAACATATGAAAAAATTAAAATATAAAAGCATAATGGCCATATTAAAAGGACTGAACTCAATTCCAGTTTATTACATTAAAGAAAATGTGTTGTTCCAGAAACCAGATTTAATTGCACAGCAGAGCATGCTCAATATTCTTAATTAGTTTGCTACTATCTATTTATCTATGAAGTTTCTTCCTGTAGGAAGAACTACTCCTGTAGTTTCTTGAGAAGATACAAAAATCTTTATTGGGAGAGTTTTTTTTTTAAATAAACAAAAAAGGGCCCTTTCAAATAGCCATCATCTCTCCTGTACACACATTATGAAATAAGACCTTAACATACATTATAAGCCAGGAAGGCTTAGGGGAAAAATGGGAAACACTGAAGTTTATTATAAAACAACATGTTTTAGAAACTATTAAAACTTGAGAACTAACATAGGTCAAGATATCAAATCTCTGTTTTGAACAATTTGAGTATTGTTGGTTTATAAAACACTTGTAATGGAACCAGCAATGACTAGTGTACCAAATTTAATTCAGACACATTTTCCAAACGAGTAGTGGTTTGTTGGAGATTGAAAGCACATAAAACGGAAAGGAATGTGGATAGCTAACGTGGCAGATTGCTTCCTAAAGAATGATTTCTTTAAAAAAAATTTTTATATAAAATTCTCTTAAGGGTTATAACTCCCCTCAGCCCCGCCTCCTCCCACCTCCCAGCTCCCCACTATATTTAGTTAGGAACAAAGTTTTCATTCCTCATGCTCCTGGAAGAGTTCAGTATTGGAGGGGTCTGCAGAGCATCGGTACACTTACAGTGTACATTGCACACAGGGAGACTTAATGGCAAATATTTCTAGACCTTTCCCTGAATTTCCTGGTTCTTCTGGGATCCTGGCAAGACCCTGCAGATGATGTGAATGTAGCTATTTTGTAATTTAATTCAATTACAACACAGAAGCTTAATGACATTGTTTTGAATAAAAATACTGGAATATCTGTTCCCTGAATCTCAGACTACTGCTGCATATGGTAAGAATAAAGAGAGAGTTGCTGCTGAAAACCTGCAGCAAGACAGTTCTCTCATCTGGGAATACAGGGAGTTGGACAAATGCTCCCTCAAAAGGCATGAACATTTGGACAGAGCTGGGGACTGAAAGAGAATGATGTTCTCTAGTTTCACCCATTAGTGAACCAACTAACAAACACAATGGTGTTGTTGTTATTCTTTTGCCATAAGCAACAGGACTCTGTGTGTGGGCAGCAGTTTAGTGGGGAGGAGGATAAGTCGACCCCTTTTTGTCCTATTGATTTTTTCCTATTTGCATGACTTGAGCAAATTAAATGATGCAATATGGCTTTTTGTTACAAAACAAAGTGAGAGATACCACCCAGACACATATGTTGATTCGTAGGAGCTGTTTACATGAGAATAGAGTGAAATCTACCGTGAACTGAGCATAAAAATTAGATTCAGCCTGGGTATTTTTTTTTTTAATGCCTGGGCCAGTAAGACTGAAGCACAAGTTTTCCAAGACTCTCTCAGACCTTGACAACTGCAGTGTTGTAACAGAGGAATTCTTAATTAAACCTAAAATGGAGAAAGGGAGGGGGCGCAAAGACACCTGATTGTTTATTTCACGTGCAGTGATTGTTAATGACGCTCTCCCCCAGCCTCTCCTCCCAGTACAGATTACACGCATTACCGCACCCCATGCCAAGGAAGATGTTGCGAACTCAATAATACCAAACATGCGTTTACACTCGACCAACACTATTTCATATGTGTTTAAACTTAGAAACACAAGGATAGTGTAAATGCCAGTACTCTTGAAACAAGTGTCTAGAGAAGATCTTCCTGGACTATTACCATCGAAAACCTGAATTCACAATGTTACTCGGAGAATCGTCTCAGGTTTATGTGACAAATACGCCCCAACACGATCTTTCGCCAGTTTTTCGGGTTCTTAACTTAAGTACCAGAAGTTCCTTTTTGCTGTTTATCTTCTGTAATGCAAGACAACCTCCTCTGACGGGGCTGGGGATCACAAACCAACCATGCTTCAACATCCTTTACGATTCAAACCGCTCCCTAACCGAGCACGTGCAGAAAACTGCACAAATCTTTTTACCCTAGAAAAATAAACCGGAAACCACAGCCACCTTAATTTACAGTTTCACTGCAGCCAAAGCCCGATTCGATCCAAAACACACTGTTAATTGCTATTCTTTCATACTATATACCCAACTCAGAATGCGGGTACGATAGGAACTTCTCTTTGCGGAGACAGTTTTGCATAGCATCCTGACCGCGGACTCTTGGGGGCGGGAGAGTTATCCGCGCACCCCAGAGGAACACACAACGGAATCACGCTAGCACTTCAGCGAAGTTATCAAAAAGAACTGTCCAAACAAGGTTCGCTCCTCTTAAAGCCACCAGCATCGCCGGAGCCACGGGGACCCTCACCCAGCCAGGACGCCAATCCCGTAATTTGTGGGGCGGGTGCGTTGCTTACCTTGTTATCCAGGCGCCCCAGTCCCGGGCTGTCACTCCGCAGGCAGCAGGACAGCCGAGGGTAGAAGCCAGCGCACAACATCTCTCCCCCACTCAGCAGCTCCAGCTGGGACATCACGCGCCTATCTCTCCTTTTCAGGCGCTTCGGGGGGTTCCCATTCAGGCACCTTCTCCTCCTCGCTCCGCTCCCTTCGCTCCTTTCCCCAAACTTAGCATCTCCTTCAAAGAAGCCCAGAGCCACGGCCAGCAGCAGCAGCTTAAAGGAGAGCATCTTCAGCATCGTCTGCCCGGAGCGCCAGGGGCTCCGCGCGGGAGGATGGGGGGGAACACCGCCGCCCAGCAGGGGCACTAGGGCGCAGCTCCAGGAAGAAGCTGCGGGGCGGCAGGACACTCGAGAGGCAGAGCGAGGTGGCGGGGGACGAAAATATATACAGCGATGCAACTTTGCAAAAAATAAAAGACGAGGCGGTGGGTCCAGGGACTTAGGGGAGGCCAAGGAGCGAGATAAAGTTGTGCAGATGACACCGTTTGCAGTTGTGCCAGTGTCAGTTGGGTTAGGGGCTTTCTGCTGCCGCTGGGAAGTGGGAGGAGAGGCAGCTGGAAGAGAAGGAGAAAGAAGAGGAGGGGAAGGCGGCCACAGAGGTTCACTTGTCCGTGTAACGGGAGTTGTTTAGGTGAGACAGTAGCAGGAACCGAACCGGCGGCGGCGGCTGCGGGGCGGGCGGAGGCAGGGCCGGCGCTGGGCTCCGGATGATGCTGAGGTCTCCTCTGCCGGCGGCTGCAGCTTCTCACACAGCCTCTCATGTTTCGCTCCCTCTTTTCTTCTTCTTTTTAACTAGCGCGCGGGGAGGTGCTGCCACCGCGCGCCTCTTGACGTCACCGCTCCTGGCGCGCCCCCGCCCGGGCTGGGGGAGGGTAGGGGGCGGCCCCACGCGAGCGCGGCCGCGGCCCCGGTGGCCCCGGGGCAGCGGCGGGGAGGGGCCGGCGGGCCGCGGTGGCGGTCTGAGAGGGGGGGGGCCGGCGGAGCCCTCGGAGCTCCCCGGAGAGCAAGGGACCCAGCGCGCCCGCCTCGCCAAGGCGCCGGGGTCCCGGGTCCTCCGGCCGGCTGGTCGGGGCCGGGGGGCAGCCCGGAGTTTCCCCACCGACTCCTCTCTCCTCCCTGCAGCCCCTCCGCACTACCCGGGCTCCAGGCAGCAGAGATAAGGCTCCGAACGTGAGTAAGTGGGCTGCGGGAGGTGAGAAGGGAGGGGCCCTTCCAGGCCTCCCCGCCCCGGCCCGCCCCTCCCCCGGGGGGAGGATGAGCCGAGTGGGCTGGAGTCGGCGGGAGGTAGCTCCTCGGTTCCTTCCCCTCTCCCGGCCCGCACGGACTCCCCCTGTTCCCCGGGGATTTTCAGTGTGAAGCTCGAGTCGGCAAAGGTCTCTAGCGGGTCTACTGTGGAGGCTGTGCCCAGCCCAGCTGCTACGAGCCGCTGAGTAGGTTGCGCCGGATTGAGGACTGCTTGCAGAAGAGGTACCAGCCTTGGCTCCTGAGGCGGCACCAGCGCGTGTACTTGCGCCGTGGGGTGTCGGGCGCAGCCGGCCTCCCGGAGGGCCTGGCCTGCCCGGGCGGGCTGGCCCCGGACGCCCCCTTCCAGGGCCCCACCTGTGCGCTGGCGCCTCCCCCGGAACGCCGGAACGCAGGTTCCTCCGCCCCAGGTAGGGGACAGAAGCTGGCCGCAGAATCAGCGTTCATTGAAAGAAAAAAAAAAGTCCTGGGGAGATATCCCCGGGGTTGTAAATACAGAGGCGTTAGTTCTGGAAGAAGAGTAAGTTTGCGAGCGTCCAGAAGCGGGTGGTCCCACGTATCCAGTGTACCTAAATTCATCAACCTTTCCCCCAGCTAGACAAAGTCTGCAAAAGAAGGTGTTTCTAAGAAGATCCGCACGTTGTCAGGAGTGGTGACTTAACGTTTACGGGATCCCCTCAAGTTGGCGTGAGGTTGAACCTCTACCAAGTTACACACAAAATGTGTTTTCTGCCCACTTGAACATTTAACAGGGCAGCTGTTTTCTGGCAGATGGATTTTGGAAGAGATAAGGCAGTTTTCCCGTTTTGGCAATGGAGGAATATTTGCCATATTTGGTTTTGCTTCACTTCTCAGACGTGGATGTCACCAAGCTAATGTGAAAGCTGGTGATCCTGGCGGTGGACAGCTGATTGAAGTGGTTCCAGTGGCAAGATACGACTTCTGCCTCTCACTTTTTGGGCCTGGGTTTACTAGTGAAGCTAGGGTTTTCTCAAACTTGGTGATCAATTAGAATAACGGAAAAGAATTTGCTGGGATATTTGGTCCAGTGCTTGACCTCAGTGTAGGGCCCTGATACCATACTTAACATTTCTCTGGGGCTGTTGTATACACAAGACTTCTGTATACAAGTGATTGCAAATGCTACTTTTGATCCCAGAGACTGCCTAATCTGACATTCTTCCTGCTGTGGACTTTTAATATAAAATAAATCATAGAGTTATAAGGACTTTAAGACTTTAAACTCTCCTTTAATAAGCAGATCTGGAGATGAATCCCATGAAGATTAAATCACTTGCACAATCTCATCTAATTAGGTAGTTTAAAAACTACGACCCATGGACCCAATCTAGGTTTGCTTTCCATTATCCAGGGCTTTATTCTCAAATACCAGTTTTATGTTCTTTTTCCAAAATAAAAATCCTTTTAAGATTATATTTCAGTGGTTTGAGCTCCCACTCCAAGTGATAAATTAATCTTAGTAGTTTTGGAATAGGCCTTCCTTACGGTTTGTATTTCAAGACTAAGAACATTTAAAGGTAAATTAATTTTGGTTTAAAAAAAATTTTGCAGCTGTTATAACTTATGACCCTAAGTCTCAAGATACAGAGTTGTTAAAACATTACAGGAATGAGACAAACTTGTTCTTTCCTGATACAGAGGATCCCATCTGTTGTTAGTCATGACAGTCAATAAACCAGGTCACTGGTAAGATTGCAGAATTTATTCTCAGTGCTATTGGTATAATTTCCAAATAGTCACTAAACAGTATTATACAAGTGAGTTAACTTCTAATCATTTCTGTTTGTTTGTTTTTGTTTGTTTCGCAGGGGAAAATTGCAAAGCTCACGTACAGCCAGATTGATTGCATAATTTTTTAGGAATGAAGAATTAGCATTTGAGTTATTTCCTAAAATTAAACCTTGAAAGCCCACTTGGAGGCTAGACAACCATCTGTACACTTGAACATGAAAAGTAGCCTTCTTCCACCAGGGAGATTTCTTTCTTCTGCTAAATCATCAGAAGTGGTAAGAAGAAAAGATCCCTACCCAACCAAACTCATCCAGATAAACTTTTTGAGAAAGCTTTTTTGAGAAAAGAAGGGAGCTATATGAGGGTGGCCAGATCATGTTCTGCTTGCACCACCACCGATCAGCCCCCTCCAGGATTGCCACCTACGTGCAGGTCCTGCCCTTACAAGGGCACCTGGCCAAGGCAGCAAATGGGAGCTGAAATCCTGCCCAGGATTTCAACTCGCCAAGCAGAGTTGATTGGTGCATGGCTGGGTCTACCCAGGCGATGTGGCTCCTTTTCCTAATTTGCACCAAAGCACCCTGTGTGGGCTAGGGGAAGCTCTGACCATCCTACTCCCAGGATAAGTCCTATCCAGGATTATATTCCTTACTTGGTTTATTAAGTGTATTGTAAAGGATGAAATATTTGCCTCAAATTGAAAGTCATTTAAGGGATGAAGCTCAAAATATTACAATGGGTCTGAATTATGTATGTATGTATTTATATGTGCATGTGTATATAGTTATGTGGATATACTTTTCTATGCATCAGAAATCAACAAACTTAAATTTAGTAAATGTTAAATAAACTATTGGGTATTAGAATCAGTTTTATATGTGATTTCTGACCTTCCCAGAAATATGTGCTATTCATTCTATTTCAATAAATATATATTAAGTGCCAGACATTGAGCAAGGCAATATGTATACAGTAGTGAAAAATAATACAAATACCCTGCCTCTAGGTAGTTTATAACTAAGACAAATGATAAAGTCACAAATAAACTTATGATTTTAAATTGTCATAAGGGCTATGAAAGAAATGCCACAAGGGAGAAAAAGAAGGAAAAAAAATTTATTTCAGATTGTGACTGGGAAAAGCCTGTCAGTGAAAGTAGCATTTCAGTTGAGACCTGAGGATGAGTTGGAAGGAGTTTATGAAGTGACTCCACCCTATTTATTTAAATTATACAAGCATTTGAATTCAGAAAAGAAAATGAAGAATTTACAGGAAAGCACAGAATTAAGTAGATAACTAAAAAAGGACAGTTTGCAGGCCAAATCATACTACAGTTTATAGACTGTAGAAAACTAATGATATTACTGTATATTCATGGATTATACAGTAATAATCCCTCCCACAAGGACCTGATTCTCACTGATCTTTGTCTCTTTAAATCCTAGCTTTTCCCTCAACTTCTAAGAATATATCTAGTTTGAGTGGCCCTTCAGCCATTGCATCTCATTTAAGCAGTAATTCTGTATTATATTTTATTGGTTTTCATTTGTACATTGTTGATAATTGATATTCATTCATACGTGGGAGTTGAATCTGCATGAGTTTGTAAGCTCCATGAGGGCAGGAATTAAATTTCCTTCTAGAATCTAGGTCAGTCTCATCACACAGAGACCAAGCTTGTAATAAAAGTTGCTAACTGGACAATCTTGTTTGACTTACACTTTTTAAAGGTTTAAAATGGAGAAAATATTTGCATTATAAATAAACTTAAATTAGTGAACAGAAGGAAATGCACAACCTAGAGTGCATTATCTGTGAAGAATTTCAGGGAACATTGCTCTAAACTATGGTTCTATGGAGTGAGGACAGCCAAACAAAGCCAAAGAATGAATACACATTTTTAAAAATTAAAGATTGGTTATAATTCAAGCACACTGATACAATGGTAGTACCTCTGGTAGGGATTTTTTTTTTTTTGGTATCATTAATCTACAATTACATGAAGGACATTATGTTTACTAGGCTCCCCCCTTCACTCTGGTAGGGATTTTTATATAGTTATTCAGTCTTTCTTTTAATTGTGGGCACCTGCTGGGTGCTGAAGACACAGCAATGAACAAAGCTTTCCTCATGGAACTTGTGTACTACTGGGAAAGATGGATAACAAAAAGATATAGAGTGTGAGATGATGCATACTTCAGAGAAAAGGGATCATGAAAGAGTGCAGGGGTTGAGAGAAATAACTTAGGAGAGGGTTCTCATGAGGTATGGGCAGAGACTAGGGCACAGATATTTCGGTAGACTTGAGGCAGTGAGCCACATGCGTGTAGATGTCTGCAAGCATAGGGAGCAGCAAGTCAAAGGCCATGAAGCAAGCAAGCATGCTTGGTATTTTTAAAGATTAGCAAAGAGACCAGTGTGGCTGGAGCAGAGTGGGTGACGGAGGAAATGACAAGAAGTTGCAGGCAGAGCAGTAGCCAGGGACCCAGACTGCAGAGGATTTTATAAACTACGCTTCAGACTTTGGCTTTTACTCTGAATGAAAGGGTTATCATTCAGGGGTCTCATCAGAAATAAGGAAAGTGCCCTAGTTATTTTCTATTCCACAGAGTGAATTAAATATAAGGAATTGGTTAAATGGTGTTGGAAAACTGGAAGAACAAAAAAGGAACACTGAAGTAAACCGTAAACAGTAACTGCAGAGGACAGAGCTCATCTCTAGGGATTGAGAAGCAAGGGAAGAATTCGGGTTAATAGTCCAGAAGCTGGTTAAGCACCTGGAACTGTGGACTCAAGGCAGCTGCCCTGCTGGTGTGGACAACCCCCACCCCACCCCAGACGGTGAAATGCGCTTGATTTGGGGAATGCTAGAAGAAAATAAGCCTGTAACCACTTGCCACTGACAGGTTATAGTTGTTTCTTAGGCTTCCGTAACAAAGGATCACAAACTAGGGGGCTTTAAACAATGGAAATGGGAATGCATTCTCTCACAGTTCTATAGGCTACAAGTCGGAAATCAAAGAATCAGCAGGGCTGGTTGCCTCCTGGGCTGTGAGGGAGATCCTGTTGTGGGCCTCTGTCCTGGCTCTGCTAGCCTCAGGGTTCCTGTCCTTGGTTTATAGTTGGCCTTGTCCCTGTGCATGTCTGTCTCTGTGTCCATAGTGCTCCTTTTTATAAGAACATCAGTCATATTGAATTAAGATACACCTCATCTTAACTTGACTATCTTCCAAAACCTTATTTGTGGGGTGAATGGAAGTTTTCACCCAGAATTTCCAGAATTTCCCACCTAGCCTTAGTCTGCTTATATACCAGTGGATGTTTACCACAGCACAGCCCCCAGTCCTTCCCAGGCAAGGGGTGGAGAGAAAATGGTCATTCTCTCCTCCCCTCTGTTTCCAGTACCTTAAAATGGAGGAAATATTTGTATTATAAAAAACTTGCCAGTCCCCAAGCACCCGCCCATGGGGTTCCTGTCCGAAGGGGCAGGCAGGGGGAGCAGAACGCTTGGGCCACGGCTGGAAGGGACAGATGATGGTGTGGAGCCTGGCTGGGGAACCCCAGCAAGCTGTGAGAAATAAAACCCCTTAACCCAACCTGTCCTGCCCCTTGTCCTTGGGTTTCAGTGGATTCTTAGCGAACTCACTCGGGCCAGGAGCACCCTTTCCTCTGAGATGTGGGGGGTTAGAGCTTTCACATCTTTTGTGGGGATACAAGTTAATGTATAACATGAGGTAAGGGGTCATGGCTGGGTGATGCAGAGGAAAGGCCCGGTAAAGGAGCCAGTCCCTCCTCTCAAACTTTTGCCTTTCAGCCTCCCTTTTGTGCCCTGTCTTAGGTCAAGTTGCCAATAAGCAGAACCCAAGAGGATAGGTCCTGCGCAAGCGATTTATTGAAGGTATACTTTCAGGAGAAAGAAGTGGAAGAAAACTAAAACAAGGATGAAGCTAAGGATATATAAACTGGAAACTAGCTTCAGTCTGATCCCACAAGGACTTCTGGACTGTGAATTGCACTGAGAATTGGTCCCAACTTGAGGCAAGTATGGGGTTGGGTGGGCTGATTTTTTAGCCCATGTATCAGTTATTACTAATAGGTTGTGTACCTTAGGAGGACAGGTAAGCCCACAGGTAGACAGGTCCCAATCTGTCAAGAACAGTGCTCTAAGAAAGGATAGCTATGAACTGGTAGTACTCTAGCAAACTTTTAGTAGCCTGTATTTTTAAGCAATTTGTACATTTCATATGTTGACATAAAGTTGTTCATAATATTGCCCTGTTATCCATTTATTTTGTAGAATCTATAGTGATGCCACCTATCCCACTCCTGCTATTGATAATTTGTGTTTTCTATCTCATTTCCTGATCAGTGTAGCAGGAGGTTTATCAATCTTACTGGTTTACTCAAGGAACCAGATCTTGGTTTCACTGATTTTTCTCTATTGTTTTTATTTAATTGATTTCCCCTCTGATCTTGATTGTTTACTGTCTTCTTCTGCTCATTTTGGGTTTCATTTACTCTGATTTCACTAGTTTCTTAAGATGTAACTTAAGGTCATTAATTTGGGACCTCTCTCTTTTCCTAAGGTAGGTGTTTAGTACTGTGCATTTCCCCGATAGTACAGCTTTAGCCACATCCCACATATTTTGAAATGTGACTTCAGTTTCATTCAGTTCCAAACACTTCCTGATTTTGTTCTTGACTTCTTCTTTGACTCATAAGTAATTTAAAGTGTTTTAGTTTTCAAATACTTATGGATTTTTTTTAGTTCTTTCTATTGTTGATTCTAATTCAATTCTATTGTAGCCAGAGAGTATAATGTATATGAATTGGTTCTTTTTAAAATTTTCGAGATTTTTTTCTTAATGGGCAGGAAAATGGTCCATCTTGGTAAACATTCTGTATATAATTGAAAAGAATATGTATTTTGCTATTGTTGTATGGAGTGTTCTATAAATATCAATCAGCTCAGTTTGATAGTGTTGTTCAGTCTTCTGTATCCTCATTGGTTTTATGTCTGCTTGTTCTATAAACTATTGAGAGGAGAGGAATATTGACATCTTTGACTGTAATATGGATTTTTCTGTTCTCTGTGCAGGCATATCAATCTTAGCTTCATATATTTTCAAGCTTAATTAACTGGGTGCATAAACATTTAGGATTGTTACATTTTCCTGATGAATTGGCCCTTTTGTCATTATGAAATGTCCTTCTTTAAACTTGGTAATAATCCTTGCTCTAAAATCTACTTTATTATTAATACAACCATTCTTTCTTTCTTTTGATTAGTGTTAGCAGACTTTTTTTCCCCATCCTTTTACTATTTATTTCTGTCTTTATATTTAAAGTTCATTTATAGTAAGCATCATATGCTCGGGTTTTGCTTATTTTTGCCAATGTGATAACCTATGACTCAATTGAGATGTTTAGATCCTTTGTATTTAATGTGACTACTGATCCATTTGGGTTTAAAATCCATTACTTTACTATTTGCTTTTTATTTGTCATCTCTAGATTTTATTCCCTTTTTATTCTTTTTTTTCCCCCCTCTTCTTTTGGGTTATTTTTATTCCATTCTTTTCTCAGTCATGGGCTTATTAGCTATAAGTTTTTTTCTTTTTTAGTGCTTTACAGTTTGGAGTATCTTTAGCTTATCATTGTGTATCTTCAGTTAATATTACGCTACTACATGTATAATATAAAAACCTGAACAGTATACTTTCATTTCCCCCTCCTCGCCTTTGTCAATGCTCTACATATATTATGAACCTTAGCATATATTGTTAATATTTTTCCTTTAAAAAATATTTAAAAATAAGGATAAAAGTCTTTTATATTAATACACATACTTACCATTTCTAGCATTCCTCATTCTTTAACATAGATTCATATTGCTATCTGGTATGATTTTCCTTCTTCCTGAAGAGCATGTGTTAAGAGTTCTTGTAATAAGAGTTTGATGGCAATGATTTTTATTAAATTCTTTTAATTTTGTTATCATTAATCTACAATTACATGAAGAACATTATGTTTATTAGGCTCTCCCCTACCCCAAGTCCCCCTCACAAACCCCATTACAGTCACTGTCCATCAGCATAGTAAGATGTTGTAGAATCACTACTTGTCTTCTCTGTGTTGCAAAGCCCTCCCCTTTCCCCCACCCCCCACATTATACATGCTAATCATAATACCCCCTTTCCTCTTCCCTGCCCTTATCCCTCCCTACCCTCCCATTCTCCCCAGTGTCTTTCCCTTTGGTAACTGTTAGTCCACTCTTGGGTTCTGGGATTCTGCTGCTG